TCATGTCAAATACGAACCTTGCATAATTCAAACTAACGAAATTTCTCTAAATAAATGTTCAAATATTTTCTTAACTATAGGACAAACCAAGATGAAAGAAGTGTTTATGACGTAAGTGGCAAGCTAACACAATGACATTTGGTTGCTATGTGGAGAAATTGTTATCTCAATTCATTTCTGCCCTTTTTAAGATGAAAAAGATGCTTTTAATAAGTAACAGAAGTGAGGAGAGATTCACTAATTGCGCGTCAAACAGGTGGCAGATAAACTGTGGCTACGGAGATGGTTTTACCGAATAGGGTGTTAACTTGGATAAGATTTGTCGTCTGTCTTTTATTCCGAGTTAAAATTCTCTGTTGCGCTTCACAAATTAACGAACGGGGTTGCTGTCGGTTGGGATCTTGTTATTTTTGCAAAAGCGTTTTCTCATAGTTTTTTAAAAAAGTAAAGAAATTGCAGCTTTCATTAAGAATGGTCGCATCTTGAAGTTACAGCTCAAAGTTTAGCGAATGTGCTGATAATCTTTATCAGTTTCCTGGGCATAAATTATTCCGGTAAAAAAGAGCATTCTTTTAATTGTCGTTAGAGTAAAGTCAGAAGAACAAAGAAGAATCTGATGAAATAGCGCGAACTGTTTTTCATCGCCTATCGCGACCTGTTATTGAAGACAGGTTTATTTATAAATAATTGAGCGGGTACGTGTATTTCCCAGAATGAAATGGAATTAAAAGATCTTCAATCAAGTCTACCTGATTCAGGCAAACTCACTCAGCCTCCTGCTGAATACATGGATCTCAGAGAAGCTGGCAGAGATAACAGGAAAGCACCAAGTGCCGCTACAGGTGCTGATTACGCGCCTCTTAATCCAGTAACACTCTCCTGGGAAGTTCCAAGAGATCACGTGACCATAGAAAAAGTCATTGGTAAAGGTGCTTTTGGTCAAGTTGCTAAAGGAACAGCGGTCGAACTTCGGGGAGGGCCTGAAGCGACTACAGTGGCTATCAAAATGCTTAAATGTAAGATCTGGGTTTGATTTCAGACCAGGCCTTAGATCAAATGGCGCCTTAGACACTCATTAGGACAATGGAACATACTCTGTGTAAAAAAAAAAAAAAACTTCAGGTTTTAAATATACATATATTTTTTTGCACATATTAGAGCCTCGCTGACTAAACTCCGAATGGAAACGAAAAATGTTTTGAGTTAGCTGGGGTTCGAGTTATCTGGATTGATGCAGAATTTCAGTCATCCTGTTAACCGCCTCCCGGTTAGCTCAATGGATAGAGCGCTGGACTGTTGTGCGGGAGGTCGAGGGTTCGAGCCCCGGCCGGACCAACACTCAGGGTCTTAAAAATAATTGAGAAGAATTTGCTACCTTTCTATAACATCAAGAAATGGTTAGATATTCTAGTCTTCTCGGATAGGGACGAATAAATGGAGGTCCCGTCTCCTGCAGGGTTGGGGTAGGAGACGTTAATTTCCCACACACGAGATTACTGTGTGATGGATGTCCTCCCCTGGGGTGGGATGGGTGGGATATAGGGCGCACTTAATTTGGAGCCTCGCTCTGTTGTGCGACCCTCACCACACTCTGGTGAAAGTGATTAAATGTAAAAAGTATCATATTTGTCATTCTTGCACAACCAACAATCATATTCGTACATGAAGTTGGTTTTATCTGAGATTTTTTATAAGTGCGTTTTGTTTAGTAAGTTCAGCTAAATGTATCACGTTCGTATTAATCGTGATTTAAGATTGGAACATGTTAATCAGCTATGTTCTGACACATTGACTCTTATCGGCCAATGTTTTTAGTTAAAGATCAAATTATCAGGGTAAATTTGAGTCAAGAAAATGTAAAACTCGGGTTTTTGAGTTAACGGAGAGTTTGAGTAAACCGAGTTGGAGTTAGCTGATATTAAATGAAAATGGGAGTCAAATCCAAGGGAAAACAAAGTAACGGTGTTTGGCTCGAGTAGGCGGGGACTTCGAGTTAAACCGAGTTCGAGGTTCTAATGCATTGGCAATTGGCAAGTTATTGCAGTTAAGCAATGTTCACCCTTCGCTTTTAACTTTCCAGTCAATGCCGCCGAGTCTGACAAGCGAGATTTAGTGAAAGAACTCGAAACAATGAAGCAGCTGAAACCTCATCCTCATGTTATTAAACTTCTGGGATGTGTTACGGAATCTGGTAAGCTGTTTGTGTAGGCTTTGTTCAGTTGTACGCTTGATCAAATTGCAAATAGTCCGCTATTTCTCTTTAATGGTCTTTATCGTGAGACTCTTGTGAAGAATGAGTTCAGTTGCGATTCTTCTTTGGTGGAGCCACTCCTGGTGGTAAAAGAGTTTGATCTTCCAGTAATTGGAGCTCTATTTTTGATTTATTACGTCTCGTCGGTGATAATTTGCTCTAAATTTAGGAGTCACTTTCCTCTTTGCAGAGCCAATCCTGGTACTGATCGAATATGTTCCTTTCGGTGATCTGCTTGGTTACCTGAGAAAGAGTCGTGGATTACATGACACCTACTACAAAGACCCAGACAACAAACCACAAACAAATCTGACGTCACAACAGCTGATGAAGTTTGCTTGGCAAATCGCTGATGGCATGACTTACTTGTCCTCAAAATCCGTAAGTCAAAAAAAAAAAATCATAATACTTAATTCTACAACTCGATTATAAGGCTTATCATGATATCACATTTCTGTTTCCTTCCAAACTAGTACAACGAACAAACAAAACAACAACAGCAACCACAACCACAACAACAACAGATTAACACTCAGGGGTTCATATGTATTTCTCAATCCCTATCTTAGATCATTCACCGGGACCTTGCAGCCCGTAACGTGTTGGTGGGACACAAAGAAACGTGTAAAGTAACAGACTTTGGAATGGCCAGGGATGTGCAGCTGGAAAATATTTATGAACGAAAGACAAAGGTTGGTTGAAGACGAGCGGTGCTTAGTTGCATGCTTACATTCAGTTAAATCATCGTCTTCTATCCCTGTTAAGGTGTTGTTGGAATATTTATGGTTTTTAATCGTTACATCTTTATAACTGGGCACTCAAGAAGAAAGCTATTAGTAGAGGTGATTAGGTTAACTTCCCCTTGACGTTTAAATTAAATGTCGTAGGTGTTTTACAAAATCATTTGAATTTCTGGAATATTTTGAAAATGATAAAGGTTTTTAAGTCATTTTCGCTTCAGCTATACTGTTGCAATTTATTTCAAACCGTTAATGATGTGACTTTTAATCCCGAGGGTCGCCTTCCAGTGAAGTGGACAGCCTACGAGGCATTGTTGTATGACACATATACCACCAAAAGTGATGTGTAAGAATAAATTAAAAATTCCTTTATTGGTAACTGCTCTTAATTCTTGGGTTTTTTTGGGTGCATTTTGCCAACTTAACTAGATTGAAAATATTTAACAATATATCTTCCGTTTTATGATAAACAATGATAACAAGAAAGGGTAGAACCAGTGCTTGGGAACTGATTTTCTAAATTTTATTGATAAAGATTTTAAGTGTTTGAAGTGTGTGATGATCCCTGGAATGTAATAGCGTGCCAGATTTCAAAATTATATGAAGGAGACTGCGGTGAACACTTTCTCTTCGATCAAGGGAAAAAAACATGAATTACCTTTTATAACAATATTTATAATTATAATAAAACACGAATTTCCTTTTTATATTAATGATATTTTCAAATTTTGGTATACCTTCAGTTGATCCTATGGACTTAGTCACTTTATTTCTGTTTGCATTGCCTCTCTGCAGATGGAGTTATGGAGTTGTCCTTTACGAGATCTTTACCATAGGTAACATTTGATAAAACTTGTCGGGAGAAATTGAAAATTAATCAATAAACTGCATTTTCACTCACGATTTTGTCGAAGTTTGTATGTATTCACATTTTGATGTATTTCTGATTAATTTTCAGGCGGTTCTCCGTATCCGCGGACGGATGGGAGAAAGATTGCCAACTTACTTCAGTAGGGATACAGAATGCCTAAACCGCAACACGTGGATGATAAATTGTAAGTTTTTACCGCCACTTTTTCAGTTTTCAGATGTCAGTTGCATCTCTCGCGTATGATTTAGTACTTGTCTTTCCCGATAACAAATTGATGTAAGCATTCCATGGTATCAATCAAAGAAACAAATTATCCTGGCAGGTTGACTGCAAATAAAGTAATTGCAGAAAACAAGGCCTGAAAATTCATTCTTCGACGGGAATAGAACCCTGTGCCAGTCCCGGATACTAGTTGGCCGCTTCTACTAACTGAACTGCGAAGGCACACGTTGGGAGCGAGGCAAATTTTTTAGAAAGTTGTTGTTTTTTTTTCCCGTAAAGAAATCTAATCGTAATTTGCTATGACACAAATTTCATTGGTGCTGTGGATGATTTTGCAACTACCAGGTACCAGATCATGATGAGATGCTGGCAAAATGACCCCGACGCTAGACCGACTTTCACTAGCTTGAAAAACCAGCTGAAAGACATGGAAACCTTATACAAGGTGAGACTTATGCGATGACAACTTTTCTCTTTTCGTTTCTGTAGGAGACAGCAAGGGAGTTCTCAACTAAGCTCCTAAACTGAATACTAATTTGGATATATCAACAAAGTTGAAATGGTATATTGGCCACCGTAACGATTACAAAAGCTGACGTTTCGAGCGTTAGCCCTTCGTCGGAGCGAATAGAGGAATTGTGGGTTGTGTGTGCTTTTAAAGGCAGCAAATGGAGCTACGTTATTGGTGGGAACATAGCAACGAGAAAAACGAGAATAAATTAGTGGAATGAAAAGCGTTCGTTGATCCCTGTGGGGTTTAGACTGCCGGTTTGAAAGATGAGCTTTTGTTCAGGATTTTTACGGCTTTCCGTGCCACCTAAGTGTAAGGAAAGACCGCAGATTGCCATATGTTGCTTAGAATGATTAGGTAAATTAAAATGTCTAGCGACTGGTTTCGATGTGTCCTTGTCATTCC